GGGTATTTTCCCACGTCATTATAGTTGTGCTTTTAAAGTTGTAGCAACGTTTCAGCAGAATCTCATCTGCCATCATCAGGCTTCTGTATTGTGTTCGTCTATATATGTGTGTGTGTATATATCTACATACACACACATATATACACATACAGGTATATATATGTGTGTGTGTGTGTGTGTGTGTGTGTTTGTGTGTGTGTGTGTAAAACTGAGTACATGGTGAACACTATCTAAGGGTCCCCAACAAGGGAAACCCCCAATCGCTCCAAGCAAAAATATTCTGGATCCCTGGTCCCCAACAAGGGAAACCAGCTATACAGGACCTGGATGGATCCTTTCCTGTCAAAAAACGTCCCGCTGTTTGAAATGGCACTTGCGGCTTCACTTCAATATGATTCAAAAGGAATTGCAAAGAAATTCCTGTTTAAGAACTAGCCTGCTTATCCAACACCAGCAATATAAAGGAGAAATAATCCCAGGAAAGTGGAGTGGGAAGGTACTTGCCCCGGTCCCCAAGAAGGGAAACCCGCGGAGAATGCCGCCTGTGTATTTAGGCTCGAACTTGAAACCAGGGGTTGAAAATGGCAGAAAGGCAGAATATCCGATGTTGATTGCCTGAGCAGTTTAACCAGCCGCTGCTGCTGATTCTCTAAATGATCCTGTCAGTCAAAACAGCATGGAGGAGAGAGCCGTGGCTGCGAGCGCTCCGCCAAGATCGCAGAGATAAAATGATCGGGGGAATAGATAAGCTAATTGCCTGACGCTGCCGTCTCAGGCTGCCTGCGGAGTGGTAGGCTCCGCCTGTCACAAAAAGCTGCTCTCAACTGATCGAGGGGGTAACCTAATAGAGCCACAAGCCTTGAAATCGGCAAATTAATTGGGGGGGAAATTTACAAGCCGAATTAACCCAAGAGCAAACCTGAAATTTGAATAGCTGAATCAGAAACCGTTCTAGTCAGGGAGTGCACAACTTCTTACCATGAAAGCTGAGCTAAAAACTGGGGGACGCTGGGGAGGTGTCCCATGGAGTAGGAGGAACGTCCCGGAGTTTTAAGCCCAGCCTTTCCAGAAGAGACTGAAGCACCTCCCACTTCTGGATGCTCTGAACAGCTCATGGGAGAACAGAATAAGTTCTGAATCTGGAAGTGGTACATTCTTGAAAATTCATCACTTAAGCAATAACACAGACATTTTCCAAATTCTTTTTCATACATTTTTCAGTCCACAGCCCTAAGAAAACCAAAATTTCATTACTTCTGGTAAATGAAAAATAGCAAACTTGCTTGAGATAAATAATAATGTCTGATTTATAACTGCACATCCATATACAAACCAACTTTGAAGTTCAAATATCTTCCTTTGAGAACTTTCCTAACCATTAAGAATCAAATGGGAACTAAGATCTATTTTTCTTTGAAAATTTAATTTCACATACATACTTTTAGTTTCTTTCTGGGGGGAGCTGCACTTTTCCAATGTGCTTGTCTTTTCTTAACCAGAGATTGCTTAGGGCTTTTTAGCTCATTATTTGACTCATCATCACTTGTTTCCTCCTCTTCAAATTCTCCTGTTTGACCATGACTGTCCACATCTTTTCTTTCAAGTGTTTCTTCGAGTGTTCCAATTTTTTTATTTTTTATCATAATTTTGAATTTTAGTGCCTATAAAAATAAGTCAATATTATTATACGTTAATAAGACTTCCCATTAACATGTGAGTTATACTTTTAATTGCAACATCATTGAAATATATAGTACAAAGGTATCCAGCTTCCCTTCAAAATATTTCTACCTGCTCCTCAAGCAGGACTTTTGAGCAGAACAAGGCTGTCAAACTCCCACCCTGCAGGCCAGATGCGTCACGTGTTGGCCACACCCACACCCAGTTTAGTGAAGAGGAAAAAACTCCCGATATGTCACGTGATGCTGCCGTGACGAAGTGAGTTTGACACCCCTCATCTAGAAGGACCCACAAATTGCACACCTGGTCTGCCTGCAGCAGTCCAACCCCATCCAAAATAAAAGATTTTAAAGTCCCTATACTGTATATAATGGTAACAATTATATTTTTTACCTCGGGAGAAGGCAATTCAGTTGGTATAGTCTCATCTATTGTAAATGTAACCAGCTTGTCACCCAGAATAGTTCTTAGATAATCCACCATAACATCCTGCTGTTTAGGACTACAATGATTCTCCAGAGACAATATCAGAGGATAATCAGAGACCTGAAAATGCAGTTTCAAAGTTATTAACCTACTTAATTGCACAAATAGAAAATACATACAACTAAAACAAGCAATATTGCAATTACAGATATTTTCATTAAGGCACAAAAATACTATAGCATCTTAAAGTGCTCCCAAGTAAGTAGCTCATAGTGCTTCTTCTGTAAAGGGCTTAATTTCCTTTCAATATGGTTGTCTGCACTAGCAAGAGAAACAAAGTCATGCTGAAGAGACCATACATTTCCCTCCTCTTTCATCTATTCCTTTCGATTGCAGTTGCAGACATGGGTTGGAACAGAGCTTTTATTTGGTTCTACTCATTTTTAAGAGGAAAAGTTTCTGCCCAACCGATTGTTTCATGGCCTATGTAGTAACTGCTTTTTGTTTTATGCTACTGAATTCTCATCATCCATCAAAAGTCTGAAGGCATGTGGGTAATTAATTAAGAGTATCTTAAAACATCTGGTAGGTATGTCACACATGTACCTACCACAAAGGCATACTTGTCGATCACTTGGATGACGGTCATAAAGCTAATTTTGTTTGTTAAAGTATATCCGTGATAAACGACAGGATCATTATTGGGTCCATCCCAGCAATCAATTTCCAGACACCGGCATCCTTTCATCAGAGCACTTTAAAAAAAAATTAGAAATGGAGTCATATATTTGCTACTGAAAAACTAAAAATGAAAAGAATTTGCTGGCATTCTTAATCTGGTTCAAAACTCATGGAATTGATGTCCTGTAACACAACTGGGGAAAGGAGTGGAAAAAACTTCCATTTCAAATTCTACCAAAATATGGACATTTTCCCTCACAAGTAATTGTAATATGTCGATTTGGGTCATTTAAAATAAATGGAGTTCCTCAATCAACATTGTCATTAAAAGCTTGTTATGACAATGCCAGCTTTCTTCAGCTGCAGTTGTGAGGAAATAGTCAGCATCTAGTCCAAAGGAAAGCCCTCAGTGCCCTGGTCCAGCTGCATAACACAAATTAAATTTGTTTCATGAAATTTTGTTAATCTATTTTTGGTAACAGAGATGTTGCTCCATAGAAAATATATTTTAAGATTCTCATGCTACAGTTCATGTTTTCAGTCATTTTGAAATGGCACATTATAGAGCTATTACTATGGAAAGTTGTGGTTGAAAAATACTCTTAGAAAACATTTATAACAATAGCACCAGAGATGATTAAAAGTTGTCTGGCGGCTAAAATAGTGCTTAGTACTGTACATATAAGAAAAATGTAAAAGCATGTTCTATGTAGAACATTTCTTTTAACTTGACTAGTTCGCTCAGAAAAATCCCCAAGAAAGAAGTTGAATTTCTAAAGCAAGTATTTATCTGAAAAAAAAAAATCACAGCGGGCTATCCAATAGTATTCCCAAAAGTTAATGTTGTAGCACAACTGCTGTAGTACACTGTGCAAATTGTGCTTCCACAGCTTCTGGAAAGTAAACTAGGAATTGCTATTAGGAAAAGACTATTGCACTGTGAGCCCCTAAAGGACAAGACTATTAAGATTTGTACACCCCAAAGAAAGGACATAAAACTAGGTCCCATTAATTTCAATGGGCTTTAAGATCCCAACAACTGCAAAACTCATTACACAGCATCATTTCCATAAATACTTTAAAAGGCAAATGGGGAATCCACATGTTGAATATTTGCCAATGTTGGCTTTAATTTTAATTTTTCATTCTATCAAATATAGCCTTAGAATCATAGACAATTATTCTAATAGACAATGATTTTGCTAGTTTTGTTAGTGAATCCATCCCCTGAATAATACAAGAAACCCAATTAAAATATCCCAGACAGGGATTATCTTCACTCAATTTGTACATATCCAGGGGAAAGTGTATCAGTTCTATAGGTACTTTGGTCCACCCTTGAATTGTTCTTACTGGTAAGTGTTTTCTAGTGTTCAAGTAGAATTTGCCTTTCTTAACTTAAATCCATTATTCCATTTTCAGAACTCTAAAATGTTTGAAAGCAAGTTCTGACCTTCTGAGAAAATATTTTCAGGTATTTGTAGCATGCTCTTGTATTCCCCCTATTTCTAAGAAGCTAAATATTCCCAATTATTTCTAACTCTATCAATCTGTGAATCTTTTCCAGTTTATTTGCATCCTCTTGAAAACAAATTGCCCAGAAATTGACACAGTATTCAAGTGTGTTGCCTTTTTTTATAGACATTGATATTATACTGTTTAGTCAGTTGTGCTTGAAATGACACTTGAGCATGCATAAATATTCACTTGGCCATTAATTATTACTCCAAGATTATATTTACAAGTATTATTATTTAATATCTATAACTGTAGATTTGACTTTGCATTTGTCTAAGTTTAATATCATTTTGTTATTTTCAGCCCATAACCAATCAATACTGTTTTAAATTAATTTTTGTTTTCTAGGATATCAATTATCCCACTCAATTTTATGTAATTTTCATGGAAGAGTTATTATATTTGATTCCAATTTGTTAAAGAGTCTTTGCACAACACTTGAGTACAATTTTTGAACCAGCTTCAAAATTTTATTTTTATTCCATTTAGCCCACAGTTTACTACATGGAGTAGTTTACCAAATGTCTTGCTGAAGTCACTATATATTATGTCTACAGTATTCTCACAGTCTACTAAACAAGCCATCCAATTAAAATATTAGCCTGACAAGGTTTGATCTTGATAAATGTATATTGCCTTCTGGTAAATACATGTTATTTCAAGATATTAAACAATACAGGTAATCCTATATGATCTGCTATTTGGTATCGCACTAACTAATCTTCAGTTCATTACATCTACTTTTCCCACTTTTCGAATACAGTACATACAGTATATGCAGTACATACAGTAGATAACTACATTTTCTAATTGTCTGGCATTTCAGTTTTCCATTATTTGTCAAAGAGAATAAAGATTCTACCACACATCATAAAATTATTTCAGAATTCTACAGTGTAATTCATGGCCTTTTACTCAAAGTAAAGAGGTTCTAGTATTGTCATTTTTACTAAACAGTTTTGTATTTTTTAATTTTGAAAAGGAGCCTATTTATTTTTCTAGCATTCTTTATACTTCCAGGCTATCAATATTTTCTAAAGCGCCTGTAGGCCAGACAAGAAATAATGGATGGAAACTGAACAAGGAGAGATTTAACCTGGAAATAAGGAGAAACTTTCTGACAGTGAGAACAATCAACCAATGGAACAGCTTGCCCTCAGAAGTTGTGGGAGCACCATCACTTGAGACTTTCAAGAAGAGATTGGACTGCCATTTGTCAGAAATGGTGTAGGGTTTCTCACTTGGGCGGGGGGTTGGACTAGATGACCTACAAGGTCTCTTCCAACTCTGATTATCTGTTAATATATATTCTTCCTTACTAACATGTCTCTCTCTTATATATGCTCTTTTTTGTTTTCAGAATTCTGATTAGCATTTTGTGTATGTTATACAGGTAGATCTTGACTTACACCATTTGTTTGGTGACTGTTCAAGTTACAAAGGCACTGGGGGGAAAATGGACTTATAATCATTTTTCACACTTACAACTGTTGTAGCATCCCCATAGCCGTATGATCAAAATTTGGATGCTAGGCAACTAGCTCATATTTATGATGGTTGCAATGTCCCGGGGTCATGTGATCATCTTTTGTGACTTTCTAACAAGTCAATGAGTAAGCCAGATTCACTTACCAACCATGCTAACAAAATAGCTGCAGTGATTCACTTAACAACTGTGGCAAGAAAAGTGGTAAAATGGGGCAAAATTCACTTACATCAGTCTTGCTTAGCAATGGAAATTTTGGACTCAATTGTGCTTGTAGGTTGAGGAATACACCTGTATTAGTTTCTTCTATGTCCACTCTTTTTTTCTAATAGGAATTATTTGCAGTTATGCTTTTAGTATCTCCTGGAATTCTCATCCATCTTGAACTTATTTTTTCCGTTTAGTTTCTTCTGAAAACGGAATCCATTCAACTTGCTCTGAATTTATTGAAATCCACTTTTCTGAAGCACACGATCAATTATATTAAAATTTAATTTCCCTTCACATTAAGAAAAATAATATTAAATGGCTATTTCCTGTTTCTACTGCATCTACTTCCTCAGCTAAATCTTCTCAAGTAGGAGAGTCAAAGGAAAAAAGGAGTCCCTCAGATGCTCACATTAAGCAATCAATAGGTCTCAAGGCACAACTCTTGCACTCAGCAGCTATTCAGGAGATAAACTTTTCACCCCTCACAATTGAGTATATAATTCTTCAAAATAGAGAGATTATCTGTTCATTCTTCTTTTTTATGTCTTTATTGAACTCTACTGGCAAACTATTATTAGCATTCTTTGTTCACTCATTTTGTCTGACAGAACCTATTAAATAAGGTACATGGTTTAACAAAAGTTGTTTTAAAGATAGACCTAACACGAAGCCCTATACAGTCAAGGTAGTACTACTGAGGGCTAGGGCGCAAACATTTATTATGTTACCTTTTCTCAGAGTACAAAGTAGAAACAGTTTACTAGCAGCAGGATTATTAGAAGTCACAACTGATTCCAAAACAGGTTCTGGAGCTATCCTTAGTTTGCTTTTCTTCCGTGTACCCAACCTCTTAAACCAGTTAATTGTTTCTTACCCAGAAACAATTAACTACTCTCTTGTAAAATATAGATACACAGATTAGGTGAAATTTTGCTCAATAGCAAGTAACTGCAGGAAGGATCTTGGAGTCCTAGTGGACAATCACTTAAATATTAAATAATAGCAATGTGCCTTAGTCGCCAAAAAAGCCAATGCAATCCTAGGCTGCATTAACAGAAAGATAGAATCAAGATCACATAAAGTATTAGTACCATTTTATAAGGCCTTGTAAGACTACACATGGAGTATTGCATCCGTTTTTGGTCACAATATAAAAAAGATGTTGAGACTCTGAAAAGAATGCAGAGAAGAGCATCAAAGATGATAAGGGGGCTGGAGGCTAAAACATACAAAGAACAGTTGCAGGAATTCGGTATATCTAGTCTATTAAAAAGGACTAGGTATGATAGCAGTGTTCCAATACTTGAGGGGCTGCCATAAAGAAGAGGGGGTCAAGCTATTTTCCAAAGCACAAGAAGACAAGAAAAGAAGCAATAAATGGAAATTAAACAATAAGAAACCTAAAACTAAGGATACATTTCCTCACAGTGAGTACAATAAACCAGTGGAATGGCTTGCCTTCAGAAGTTGTGGATACTTCATTGCTGGGAGCCTTTAAAAAGAGACTGGACAGCTATTTGTCTGAAATGCTCAAGCAGGGTTGGAATAGAATAGCTCGAAGATCCCTGCCAACTCTGTTATTTTGTTAATTTCTGTTAAAATATTTGGTACTTCTGTGGGGGTCCAGCTCAGAACAGGAAAAGTCTCACAAGATCAATGTCAGTTCACTCCTCAATTTGTGCTAGACACAGAAATTTTAAAAGGCTTGTGCATGTTTTAACAAGCTTTCATATCCTGAAGTATACCATTTAAGCAATATTTTGTGATCTTTCATAAGGCTCCATGTGCAACATGATTTATCTGGGGCTATTACAAATATATTCCTATTCTCTTACTGAATCTTTGACAACGTTTAAATAGTTTTAGACAACTGGTTATCTGACTCGTATCTTTTATTGTCCTGTCCTCCTTTAACCCCCTTATATTAGCAATAGTAATAGCATCTAGACTTATATACTGCTCCACAGAGCTTTACAGCCCTAAGTGGTTTGTTTACAAGACAGCATATTACCCCCAACAATCTGGGTGTTCATTTTACCGACCTCAGACGGATGGAAGGCTGAGTCAACCTTCAGCCAGTAAGATTTAAACTGCCAAACTACTGACAGCCGGTAGTCAGCAGAATTAGCCTGCAGTACTGCACCATCACAGCTCTTGCTAGTTGCTAGTTATTTATAACTTTTGATGGTATGCATGTGTTTCATCATACACAAGTGGACACTTCAAAAGGACAACAGTATCTTACCTTAGAAAACTAAACATTCATCAGGCCTGATCAATATTTGCAGAAGTAACTATCCTAAAATCCCAATGCAAAAGTTCTAGGCTAGCATGAGAATAGATGGCAAGCAACTTCCATATTCTTGCCAGGAAAATGAGATGGATGCATCCATATAGGTACTACTAGTTCAGCTAGGCTCAATTAAAAAAATTTCTCCCTCTTAAGTGAAAAAATGTTCTGTACATATTGTTCTCAGGCCAGGAAACTGTACTCTTGAGAGGTCTGTCTCAATTATTAACATATGCTATTTAAACCTTATACACAGCACTGTCTCCTAAAAAATTCTAGATTTTCAATGTTTGCACAAAGTGCTTGTTCTTCCTTCTTGCTGCTAATCTTCTGCGATCTGTTCCTTAGTCCTTCCTTCTATGCACAGGATCGATCCACATAAATTAAAGAACTCCTGGAACTGAGAAAGCATAGCACAAAACATGGTACAATTCTAGTTCTGTAATGAGAAACCCAAGAGTACTATAAGTTCTCACACTCCTTTATTCTCTGATGCTTATTGTTCATTATGTTTAATGGTCTGCCTCAAAATAGCTCTAACAAATCTTAGAAACTCTGAACGCTACACATACACACACACACACAAATATGGGGAAATGAGTTTGTAAATCATGCAGTGGACTATGTATGCAAAGTAAACACTTTACCCTAGCATGCTTTGGCATAAGCTATATGGGTTTCCTTGGTATATTTATATTTTGAAAATGTATATTCTTCCCTTTAAATCAAAACCTGATAGCAACACTAAAATATTTATCTGTCATATTGAATTGTATTCTAACTACTTTGCTTTCTGTTTGTGGTTTTCAGTGGGTTTTTTAATGATGTTTTAATTTATGCTTTAGAAAATGAGATTCAGGAAAACAGAAGAAGCTGTTCTACTGAACTACTTATGATATTAAACTAATGATTCAAAATGGATACAAATACCTTGCATAGCCCCACAGGTGACTTGACCCTATTAGCTGATCAGATAGGAGGTAGGTGTTGTGTGAGGATGAAATAAAGTATTCACGTAGCGGACGGGACATATCCTGGTAAACAGTTCTGTGCTCACTTTTAAATATCGCGCAGTCCTCAGAAGTCACATATCTTATAAATCCTTCAAATGTCATCTCTTTATTCCTCTTTGCTGAAAGCCAGAACATTACAAACACATATATATCTCCAGCATGGACACAAACAGAATTAAAACAAACTGAAAATATTCCAGACTAAATATATTACTGTAACACGGAATGTCAGATCACACATGAAAATTTAAACTGTTCTTACGCTCAGTGATGAAGAATTGAAAGAAAATGAATCACATATGATAGGTATTTTATATGCTCATATAACTTAATCAATTCAGTAAATGAGTGATGTCTTTCATGAGCTTTGGATAATGCACTCTCAGTATCTTTGTCTTGCCACGGATATTATCAGTCAGATCACAAACTACATTTGATATTAGCTAACGTACTATGCTGCATACTTGTGTATACATTTAATATATACTGTAAACCAATAAATCCTGTCATAACTTTTTCACATGTAAGACTTAATACTATGCCCATGAGCCTTTCAGAATGTTCACCTGGGCACCATTATATGGATTGTCATACAATAAGTTAGATACCAACAAAATAAAGCACCATCATCTTGCAAGGTCTCATCTGAAACTGTCAAAATGACAAAAGACACCATGATCCTATGAGATTTCTACCTCTTTTAATTTAGTGAGGCTGTGCAGAAATGGATGCATGTGTGGCTGCACTTGATTCTATGGCCTGGAGGTACAAATTTGCCAATCCCCAAGTCAGAGAGCATGTCTATTCATATTTTGTCTAGAAAATAGTTCAGTAGGACTCAACTAGGAATTGCAGTCTTAAGTTCCATCCATTTTAAATTATTTTTACAAACACAATGAAACTTAAAACTGTATCCTTAGTTACTTCTGTCCTCTGATTCTACAGCAATACTACAGCTCTTATTTCCCCCAATTATTATTCTTTACTTAAAGGATTTTATTTCCTAAAATCACTGGATATTTTAACACCCATTCTGTATTTGACATTTTCCTCAGAAAATAGTACATCTCAAACTTGTTCAAAGAATTTCCTTCAAAAAAAAGTCGGTTAATAGCAATAGCTCTTAGACTTATATACTGCTTTATAGTGCTTTTCAGGCCTCTCTGTTTGCAGAGTCAGCATATTGCCCCCAACAATCTGGGTCCTCATTTTACCCACCTCGGAAGGATGGAAGGCTGAGTCATCATCCTTGAACCTGGTGAGATTCGATCTGCCAAATTGCAGGTAGTTGGCTGCAGCAGAGTAGCTTGCAGTACAGCACTCTAACCACTGCACCACCAAGGCTCTTAAGCAGCATTATGATTGTTTTGTCTACTTTCTATCACATAAAATTGATATAAAGATACAGAAATAAAACCAATGCAATATAAATATGTGCCATATCTATTTATTTATTAAATTTATTTTGTGCCCATTTCACTCTACAAAGTGACTCTGACCAGAGAGACTCTGGCCCATCTCTATGCATGTATACCCATTTTATAAACCCTCAAGGTATTTTTTATCATGAGAGTCCAAGCCTCCCAATATCAGGGTTAAATTTGAAGTTTCATAGGAGAAAGATTTATTCTACATAAGAAAGGAATTCTAGTCACACTATTATCATGCAATACTGTAAAAAAGCAGACAGATAAAACACATTTACTGTTAATGACTGATTTTTCCAAATAAATGTGTTTAGATGGGATATTAATATTTTCCTTTCTTTAGTTTATAAGAAAAAAATGGATCACATAAACTTATCTATTGGATTTTTTTTAAAGGTATATAACATGCTTCTATTTATATGTTTCATATATTTAGTCTTGCATTTGGGACTTACAAGGTTTAGGATATAAAAATGGACTCTCTAAAAATATGCAAAAGGCCGAATAAAATGAGGGCTTAAGGGTATGAAGTGCATGACTGGCTTTATTTCCACCCAAAGCATACTTTACTTTTATTCTTCCCTTTTGATCCCAATTATTTCCAAGGCTCACTTTCTTAGGCTACAAGTTCTTTAGGAAGAGAGTAACTGTATTTTTCAGGGAGGACACTTTCCTACATCTAAGCCCCTAGGACAAGTAAGCTGCAACTAATTAAATTATTGCATTCATTGTTATAGATACTTCAAAATGTTAAACAGAATATAAACTACACTCCTGAAGACAATATACCATCTCTCACCCTTCTATTTCAATGCTGCAAGCAGAATGTATATGTAGCATATGGTCTGTTTTTATCTACTGCATCTTATACTGCCACGCTCCACATGCATGCTGTTATTACTGTTCTAACAGGTCTCTACTATACAAATTTGATGCTGTTGTTGCTAAGTGCTAAGAAGCTAAGAAGACAACAGGATTAAATATACTACTTTCAAATGCAAAGGTTATGAAGGCAAACAGCAATTAAAGACTGTTTCTGATGTTTAAGGCAAAAGGACAGTTTAATTCTTATAGCTGCCAGATCAGAGGAGACTGGCTTGCTTATTATCTTTCACAAGTGTGCTCCTTTTCACAATCCATGTTTGGCTCTGTTTGCATACTCACCCAGATGCAAAAGACAACTCATATGTGGTCATGTGCAATTATGGGACACTGTACTTAAACTGCCACTATGTAAGCAGAATCTCGCTTTCATCTAGCCTACCCAATGACCCACCAAATTCTGCAAAGTGAAAGACCCAGACATGAATCTGCTCCAGCCACACCGATATGATTATTTGTATTGAGATCTCAATTATATTCCTTGTGTACAAAAATTGTATATTCTACTATTTTTTAATGCAAAAAAGGACTAGAAAAATAATAAAAGCAACTCAAGAAAGAAAGTTTATTTATTTTGCTAATATACAATCTTTATTATCTAATACCCATTTTTGGAGCCTATAAATATAAATACAGTCACAAATATATAAATAATGTATTTGTATGCTTGTAGGCTTATAACATAATATACTTTCTTCCTAAAATGACCTGCAAGATTTATTGAGTTTACATTAAATCTCTGTTCACAAATTCTTCCTGAACAGACGACTTTAAAACAAAAATCTCCACTTGAGAAATCCCTGGCAAAACAGCTACTATGCAATAAGTCACTCCTGGCAAATGGACTAGACATGCAGTTTCATGCTATTTAGCCATGAGAATAATTTAGCAATTTTAGAATTTAATTTAGCAAAATTAATTGCTGAGGCATTTTTTCTCATAAAAGTGCTATGTAGTGATGGAAGATTAGTTTTTCTGCACTGTGGTGCATTTCAGTGATTTTGACATGTTTTTCTAAGCTACAGAACAGCAAATATGGGAAGTTTGAAGGAGTATTTCCTGGAATATATAGAAGGCAGCAATGGCAAAGTCAACCAAAAAAAACTAGGTGGTCATGTCCATGAAGTTACTAGGAGTCAAGCTAAACTAAGAGCCTACATATACAAACACACTCACACACTTATACTTAACTTCCTTATTTACAACCCAGTAATCCCTTAATTCAGGCTGCAGTTGGGGTGACTGGATAGAGCTGAGCGTTTACTTGCCGGATGCCCTTCCTGATGCCATGCAGAGTTCACAGCAGATATATTTTCTTTGCGTCCTAGGAGAGAAACATTTGCCGCTATCTAGAACTCTCAACCTCTGAGTGGGAAGCAAGCATCTTCACCACTAGGCCACCATGCCACTCACTATTATACCAAAAATAATAACAAATATATTTCTTAATTTATTTCATTTTTATTATGAAATGTATATACCACCCATCGCAGCAAGATGAGACTCTAAGCAGTTTACAAGTAAAAGAAATAGAAAGGGCGTTGGTACTTACCTGATACGCCCTTTCTCTGTGAGCTGTGAAGAGCATCCAGAAGTGGGAGGTGCTTCAGTCTCTTCTGGAAAGGCTGGGCTTAAAACTCTGGGACGCTCCTCCTCCTCCACAGGACACCTCCCCAGCGTCCCCCAGTTTTGCAAAGACTGAGTGCCAAAGTCCAGAACTCATCACCTAATCTAGATCCCTGACCAGAAGGGAACCCCACCAGACGGAAAGAAATGGGTGGGGCTGGATGCTCTTCATAGCTCACAGAGAACAGGCATATCAGGTAAGTACCAACGACCTTTCTCCCATGAGCTGTTCAGAGCATCCAGAAGTGGGATATACCAAAGCTTGGCCTGTCCTTAGGGAGGGACTCCGTCTGGATCAAAATCCACTCCTAAACTCTATGGACCCTCTGCAGGACTCTTCTGCCAAATGAAGCGTCTGCTGAGGCGTAGACATCAATTTTATAATTTCTGATAAAGGGCGATGGTGAAGTCCAAGTCGCCGCTCTGCAGATTTCGTCTATGGAAGCCCGAGTGGCCCATGCTGCTGATGTTGCCGCACTCCTTGTCAAGTGGGCTGTAATGCCCTTAGGAACTGAGATGGACTGGCATTCGTAACTTTTAGCTATGGTGGCTCTCAACCATCTACCAATGGTCGTCGACGACACCCTGTGTCCTAAAGTGGATGGGTTGAAGGATAGGAATAGAGCCTCAGATTTTCAAAATGCCGCCCTGCGGTCTAGATAGATGCTTAATGCCCTTTGAACGTCAAGTCGATGCCATTGATGCTCCAGTCTATGAGATAGTTTCAGACACAAATTTGGAAGCACCAACTCCTGCGCTCTGTGGAAGGCTGAATTTACTTTAGGGATGAACGATGGATCCAATCTGAGAACCACTCTGTCCGCATGAAACACGCACAGGTCCTTTCTCATCGACAATGCTGCCAATTCAGAAATCCTCCTTGCTGATGTGATCGCAATTAAGAAGACCACCTTATATGTCAGGAATTTGAGACTAGCAGTTCTTAAAGGCTCGAACGGGCCAGTTGTAAATGCGGTTAACACCTTGTTGAGCTCCCAAGTAGGATAGCGGTGAATTACAGGAGGTCGTAAGTTTGCAGCACCCTTAAGAAAGCTGCAGACATGTGGATGGTGCGCTATGGAATGAAGGTCACCCAAGGATATCACCGAGGCTAAGGCCGCCACCTGTCTGCATAAAGTATTTGGAGATAGGCCCTTGGTCAACCCCTCCTGTAAAAAGTCCAATAATTGTCCTATTGATGGGGCATATGGCTAGGCTGAGCCATTGTGGGTCTGGGTGAAGTATTATGATTATTATGATTATTATTATTTGTACTTAGGGGTGGTGCCTACTCCTGTGGTTGAAAGTAGGGTGCTTCTCCAGGAGTGTAAGTCTATATATATATATATATATATATATATATATATATGTCTATATACAAACACACATACATATACATATGCCTATATCTATATGTAAGCCCGTATATATGGGAAACAGTATCTAAGGGTCCCCAGCAAGGGAAACCCCCCAAGCAATTTTCCAGAATGTATTTTCCAGAATGTATTTTCTCATTTATATCTTCAAGATGTAAATATTGCAAAGATGGAAATGTTCACCCTTTACATAATATCTGTGTAGTTTTTGAGTGCAATATGCATAAAATGGTATCCTCACCAGACTCAATTACAGCTACCTTTTATTTTAGAGCCTCACTCCTTGCATTTCATTGGTAATTGGAGATTTGTGTATTGTAAAAATCTCAGCATCAATTATTTCTCAATTCAACTACCAAGTGAAGGAAAGGACACTATGCTTCAGCAGCAACTGGCTTAAACTAAAAGAAAAAAAATCCCCATATGGACATATTGGCCTTTTTCTTTAAGAATAATGAGATAAGCAGGGTATCTTTGTACAAAGCTACTTCAGAAACCAGGACAAATTAGCACACAATTTATTATTCTCCTCTTCTCCTACCCCACAATTCCATTTGGAAATGCCAGCAGATAAAAGAATTATTTTTAGCATGACAACTGAAAAACAATTCCATCTTTGCCATCTTTAAAGTAATTTGTATTGAAAAATCCATATTTCAATGTTAAAGGTGATCTATATTTTTATATTTGAAAATTAGATTTCTGAGAATATTTTATTTCTAAATCAATGTGTACATTTAAAAATGTTAAAATTATGTGTAGTATTACTGAATTCCATTTGATTAAAAAATGTGATATTCAGAAATTAAAAATACAGCATACCTTGTTCAATGGGCTCAAATTTTGCAACAAGTTGAGAAGCAATTGTTTCATCAGCATTATCCTGAAACTGTTCATTTCTGAGAAAGCCAACTAGATTTGGTAGCGATAGTATTCTGTGGTTTGGAGAGTGGATTGTGAAGAGCTCATGAATTTCACATCTATGTGCTATAGCACGATATATTCTTCTAAAATCCTCTATAGTAATATTTCCAGCCTTGAATGAATCACTTGTCTGGTTTAAAAGAAATATATATACAGCACATATCATTAATAGAAAAAGAAAAATGAAAAACATTCAGTTTCTTAGAAATATCTTCTAAGAAGTATCTTAGATACTTCTTGAACCAAGAAGACATTATGTACCAAGAGACTAATCTCTCTTTCTACCTCTGTTGTCACCCAAGCTTATAGTTATCTTGTAAGATTGTTAGTAGTAACCACTTCACCCAAGCTCATGTAGAGAATTTCAAGGTTGGCCAATTCACCAAACACAAATTATCTTAACAGCTTGGAGAAGATTGACACATGAAGTAAATTCCTCTGAATTGGAGGACTCAGATAGAAGGCTTGATTTAATAGTTCACCAAATTCCGTTACCCAATCTTGTCTTTTAAAAACAGGTTCATATAAACTTAAAACTTAACATAAGAAAAATCCTCTAGCAATAACTTAACACTAGTTCAGCAATTTATTCCAACAATAATCAGCCTCCAACTTTCAATAGGACATCAAATCAAGCAGTTATGTAGTGGGGTTTTTTTTCAAAACAGAAACAGAGTAGAAAGCAAGTCATGTTTAGACATTTCTGTCTTTATGGAATGGGTTTCTGTAGAGGGGATATTTTGTATTCCATGCCATTGAAAAGCTTTATTTCAATGTATACTGATGTAAAGTAGTATTGTAATAATTATAGCCATGGGCTGTTATAAAGCAAACTTGTAAGCATCTAAGATGACCTATTAGGAAATGAATATTTACTTCAACTTGTGTTTGGTTTTTATGTTTAAGTTTATTAAATAAACAGGTAAATAAGCATGATACCAGGCTAATAACTTTTATTTGTAAGTGCCTAGCAAAACTTTCCAGTTCTTTTTCATTTTTTGCTTATCAACAAGTTGTCTATCAGTGGATTTTGTGCACTAGTCAATTATATCCCCACCATGTAGGTTAAAATTACTGGTTGACAGTTATCTCTGCTGATTTATGTGCCCAGTAATAACAATGATATCATATCAACTGATAATGTCCAGTGTTGAGATGTTAACACTAGTGGCAAGCACAAAAGGGAAAAGAGCCAACTTTATTTAGCTTGTTTATATATTTCAGATATATTTGTATTATAATATACTATATTTGTACTACATTGTATCCATTTCATATACACCCAATGAACATTATCCACATGGTATTATAAAGAATATCCATTTGTAGCTAGAAGTAATTTATATTTTATATTTGTGCTAATATTATCTTTCCTACTATAAGTTACCCAGAAATTATAAGCATCACTCCTTTTCAGACAATGTTTAGTTTCTCATCTGAATACCATTTCAGCTAGTCCTCATGAATATCACTGTACAAAATTAAACATGACTTCTCTTTAGAGGTTCACGTTATTCAAATTTGAAATGGGAAAGATGCCTCAGTCCTAGCATGGGCACCTTGCTGTATTTGGCAAATGCCCTTATTCCAAATCTTAAGAACCATTTCCTCTTTAGATTTAAGAATTTATATATCTCTACTTTAGGCTGCTGTGGGCACACACGCATACACACACTTCCAATCCCAGGGAACAGATTTCAAATTCAATTCTTTGTCTCTCTTTTAATTTGCTAAGTCTTTGAGTCAATCCTGGTTCAGAGACCTGGCTCAACCCAAACAGCAGCTATTTAGTCACATGGTAGAGATTCCTATATACTAAAGTGCAATAGAAAACAAATTTTGTCACTTCAAGACACATCTCTCTCCACACTTGTTAATATTCAAACTAAATGTTATTAAACTTTACTAATACCTGTAATGCCTATAAATGCAAACTACCATAATTTGAGATAGACAGGTCTTTCCCTGCCAGATCTACAATTACATAAGTCGGCCTAATGGGACTGGAGTCTATGTGGATGAAATTGGCTCCCCCTCTCTGCTTCCCCTATAATTGGAGACTTAGATGATAAATAGCTACCTCTCTTTTGCTTTTACTGCATCCATGGTGGAAGGAAGAAAGGTGGCAAATGGCCCTTTATCCAATAGGTTTCTAATCCTATAGAGAGATAGGATCAGAGGTGATTAAGAGCTATGTCTCCCAGATCGTCCTGCTATCCCACCTACCCAGTCCTGAACCACTCCTCTATTTAAAAATAGCTTGAAAAACAGCTGACAGGTATGGAGAGAAATTTGTGAAGTGCCAGGAGCTGACAAGCACTAAAGGACACACAAGTTGACTTATTAATGTTCCTGATGTACCTCCCCCACCCGTCCCGATAGCAGAGTTGGGCCAAGTGGCAGGACAATCTGGGAGTCTATAACTCACCAGCTCTTTGAAATGGGGGATCAAAAACATTACAGCTAAAGAACTCTTTCTGCCTCAAAGAGCTCTCTCTGCTTTATTTCCATTCTAGTGACCAAGGGAGCAATTACAAAATGAAGCAGGATGGGTTTTCCTATTTAGCCAGGCAACCTTTACCATTCAGCTGAAAGGCCATTGTTTGATCTACAAAATAGGCTACCTTGTTAAAGAGGACAGCCCCGTCCACCCCACAAATAAGTTGTCTTACTCTGACCAGTTAAACCCATGAATCTAGTCTTTTGTCAAATTCACCTCCTCCCTCAGCCCCTTTCCCATAAAAAAGGTAATCTGTGGTTTTTATCTCACTAGCAAGTGATATTCAGTGAGAGGGGAAATCACCCCCCTTACTCTGTCCTATGACAACAATGGCCTCATTATTGTGGCAGAATTAGATTTATCAAACAAGCTAGAATAACTTTCTGCTGACTCAAGGAATGGACAATTGTACTTTAATACAGCTATCTGTTATTTTCAGTGTAACTAGGTTGGATACAGGTCATAATTTTTAAGGGTTCTGACAAGTAAAATCTAAAGCAGTTTTTAAGAAATTCATCCTAAACTATTTTGATTGTATTTAGCCATTTAAACAAATGAATCATGTATCTACAATGCACTCCTTACATTATCTAGCAATAGCAGCAGCAATAGGATTTAGACTTACATATCGCCCCATAGTGCTTTACAGCACTCTCTGGGTGGTTTACAATGTCAGCATATTGTCCCCAACAATCTGGATCCTTAGTTTACTGCCTCAGCTGAGTTTTGAGCCTTAAGGATTGAACTCCAGACTATGGGCAGAGTTAGCTGCAATACTGTACTCTAATCATTGTTCCATTAGAGTTCCTATCCATCTATTCTATTATTATCTAGAAATATGGCTTTGATTTAAAAAAAAAAAAAACCTTAAAAGCACATATATTTCTAACATTTAGAAGGTGACAAAGTTTGGCTCTATCATAACAGAATATTTTATTTCAGAATAAACTACAAATAAAAGATTTCTACCTCAAAGAAATATTTAGAAATTTAAATTATTTTGAAAGTATTTAATCTTATCTAGTAATATATTTAATAATTTAAGGTTAATTAATTTTCCTTCAGTTATTTTAGCAATGTCATCAAAGTGACAGTGTGGATATTCTATCATTTCAGAGGTGTAAAGTTAAAGGAAGCTTAGAGGATTTTTGGTTACAGGTAGTCCTTGACTTACAACCATTTATTTAGTGTCTGTTTGAAGTTACAAGGGCACTGAAATAAATGTGACTTATGACTAGTGCTTGTACTTACATCCTTCACAGCATTGCCATGATCATCATGTGATCAAAATTCAGGCACTTGGTATCCTGTTTGAAATTGTAACAGTTGCAGCATCCTGGAGTCATCTGATCATTATTTGTAACCTTCCCAACTGGCTTCCAACAAGCAAAGTCAGTGGGTGAAGCCAGATTCACTTAATGACCATGTAATTCTCTTAACTGTAATGATTCACCTAACGGTGGCAAAAAAGGTTGTAAAATCAGGTGCAATTGCCTTGCTTACAACCAAAATTCTGATCTGAATATTAGTTATATGTCAAGGACTACTTGTACTCAGAAATGTAAGTAATCTATCAATATTGAAAGCTCCTAACTCTTTTGACAGAACAGCTCAGTAGGTATTTCTCTTTTAAAGCAGTGAGGCTTCTACAGGAGAAAAGACCAACAGCACTGTTACTTTCGTGGCTGTTTGGTGGTATCACTGTTAACCACACTTAAAAAAGCAAAGTTCACATATTAGTCTGTTTCTGGAAAGGAGAATTATGACTTCCCTCCAGAGACAATTCAACACCAGTCTTTTTTTTTTTTTTTTTTGGCTAGCAAAGAAACCTCTAAAACCCTCAGTGTATTCATTGAGCATACACTCCTCAACTCTCTCTCAGAATTGTGGCCCTGATACAAACAGGATACCTCTATGATTGTTTTTGCAAAAGTAAATTGAACTGGAGATATCCAATTAGCATATATGATTGGATAAGGCTATTGTGTTAAATTAACTAATACAATTTAATAACCTTAAATTGTGGCCACTGCCAATACTGCTTGCATGATATTTCACTAATTTCCCATGGATATTTAGTGTGTCATATTTAGTGTGTCATGTATGATAATTAAATATCTTTCTGATATTTAATTATCATAAATGGCACTGTAAGAACACACAATTATCCCACAAAATGATTGCCACTGCCCCAAATGATAATTGACAGATATGATAACTAAATTAGCAAATATCTAGCATGTTATAAATTTATCTTTAAAAATAAAATCGTTAGTAAAATCATGTTAATACTAAAATGATTAAATAATATTTTTCTCACCTTAAAAATGTATTTCACATGAATATAATCAAAAGGAATGTCAAGGTTATTAAGAAGTTCCAGGGTACTTTCCAAGTTAATCGTTCCTTTTCTAAATCTGTCATGGATAATGCTTAAAAACCATGTAAATGAAAAGCTGGTTAAGGGAATCAGAATTCAACGTAAATCATACTTCTCATTTTTCTTTGGTGCCAAGTTGAAATATACACATCAAATTGTTATTTCTGCAAATAACCTAGATATAAAGATGTCTGAATATATACACCTATTCCAAGATGCTTAAAATAGGCATTTCAATAGGACAGCAGTTAAGCATACTTTATTATATATGGCAGTATTCTAAATGCTAAAAACCTCTTAGCCTTGAAAATCATAACCAAATAAAAAAACATTACAGCCAGTGAATAAAAAAAGGATTTCAAAATAAGAGGTAGAGAGCCAATGGTTAATATAGATTGAAAAGCCCATAGATTTTACATAAAAATACATCTTTATACACAGGATTAATTGATGACATTCAAACAATTCATTCCAAAATCCAGCTTTGAATTAGTTATTTAAAATAATATGGCCAGGAGTGCACTCTTAAACTTGTTGGTGATTATTTTCCCTGAAGCATGTATTATGGACATAATATAAGAGGGCTAGTTTGGTCTAGTCAGTGGTTATAAGATACCAGGAGACTTATGAGTTCTAGTCTTGCCTTATGCACGAAAGTCAAATGGGTGACTTAGAGCCAATCACTCTCTCTCAACCCAATCCAGCTGACAGGGTTGTGGAGAAAATAAGAAGTATTAGGTATGTTCACAACACTGAGTTCTTTATAAAAAATAATAAAGGTAGGATAAGAAAAAATCTAAAATAAATAAATAATCTAGAAGACAGCAATTCCTTTTTCTCCCCCCATTTCAGCCTGCAAAGATTTTTATTATTAAATTTATATGCCTTTAGAGTATGGAGACAAGGAATATATGAATCAACCCCCCACCCAAGTTGGACGTTTCTACTAAAAAAAGCTTTGTGATTAGAGCAATAAATGATTCCTTAGGCATGAAAGGTGACTTTGGGTTAGTCATTCTCTCAGCCCAACCCACCTCACATGGTTGTTATTGTTTTGCGGAAAAGAGGAGAGGAAAGATTAGATATGCTCACCACATTGAGTTTATATATAAGAAACGGAGCATACAAATCAAATAGTATAAGTAGTCCTCAACTTACAACCAAATTGAGCCCAAAATTTCTGTTATGTGAGACATTTGTTAAGCAAATTTTGCCCACTTTATAATCTTTCTTTCTTACAATCTTTCAGTTAAGTGAATCCCTGAAGCTGTTAAATTAGTGACACAGTTGTTAAGTGAATCTGACTTCCCCATTGATTTTGCTTGTCGTTGATCACATGACCCCAGGACATTGCAACCATCATAAAATATTAATCAGTTGCCAAGTGTTTGAATGTTGATCACATGATCTCAGGGACACTACAATGGTCGTAAGTGTGAAAAATGATTGTAAGTTACTTTTTTCAATGCCATTGTAATTTTGAACAGTCACTAAATGAACTGTTGTGAGTCAAGGACTATCTGTTATAATAATCCAAGTCCTTGAAAAGATCTGACTGGGGAAAAAAAGCCAGATCCAGTCTAAACATATGGCTGATTCTATAACCAACCATAATAATGTTACTCACTTAACAGGCTGCCCAATGCTCTTTCTTCAAAAGGGAAGAGATTGGCAGGTATTTGTTCCTGTTAAAAATAATAGCACAGGGAGAAATAGATAGTCCTTGACTTATGACCATAATTGAGCCCAAAATTTGGATTGCTGAGACATTTGTTAAGTGAGTTTTGCCCCATTTTATGACCTCCCTTGCCACATTTGTTAAGTGAATCACTGCAGTTGTTAACACGGTTGTTAAGTAAATCTGGCTTCCTCATTGACTTTGCTTGTCAGGTCGCAAAAGGTGATCACATGATCCCATGACACTGCAAAGGTCATAAATGAGTCAGTTGCCAAGCATCTGAATGTTGATCATGTGACCATGAGGACGTTGCAATGATCATGTGTAAAAAATGGTCATATGTCACTTTTTAAAGCGATGGTGTAACTTCGAATGGTCACTAAATGAACTGTTGTGAGTCCTGGACTATCTGTATGTCTCCCAAAGGACAAGAAGCAAATTAGGGTATTCGTATCAATGCCGAGGAAGGCAGGGCACACTTTTCTTCCCGTTCAAGGATGAACTTCCTGGGTTTAGAAGGAAAATTTGGGCACTGAAATCTCACCCAGGCGCTAATGGCTGTCCTAATTCATAGGACAGCTTTTGCCCAAGCCGCGTCTGTCTCCACAGACAGTAAAGCCGCTAAACCCACAGGGTTCAAGGAACTTCAGCCACGGTGGGAAGCGCGAGAGAAAGAGAGAGAGCAAGGATATCTGGTCTCCATGGTGCCCGGGAGCTCCTCATGGAGCTTTTCGTCTCGCTCCTCTCTTGCAGGGAGGTCAGCGGCATATTCCCCACCCCACGGTCCAGCCAGGGGAAATTGGGGTGTCCACCCGCAGACCCCGAAAGCTCAGACTACCGCTAGGCTCAAATGGGAAGAAAAAAAAAAACAAGTCTCTTGTGGCGTCAGGGGTGCAGTTCTTCGCCCAACGGTTTTCCCGCGCGCCCCTCACCGTGATTGGCCAGCCCGTGAAAAGGGCGGGAAGGAGAATGTCTTCTCGTACCCGGCGCCGAAGGGAGGGCGGTGAGGGAAGGGTGTTTTTTTTTAAACGCGCTGGGGGATTTGTTCCGCTGGCGATTGGGAGTGATAGACCGGCGTTTCAAGATGTACCGTTTGCTCTTTATGCCGTCTAGAAAGCCACGTTGAGGAAGGACAGAAAAAGCCTCCTTCGTTTGAGAAGTCGGAATGCCTCAGAATGCCTTCATCCTTGCCGAACTTCAACCACCTCCCCAGGAATCCCAGTTGCTGAGGCAGCCAGCAGCATAAGCAAATGTCTTATTGTACAGAGATACATCAGATGGAATTTACAGAGGAAATAGAGATGATCAAATTGGGAATTGATCTCCTTGGTGTCAGTGAGCTAGACTGGTCAGAGAACGGCTTTTTCCAGTCTGAGGATTTCACAATCTATTATTATTCAGGACCTGATACCAGAAAAACAAATGGAATAGCAATTATTGCAAGCAAGAAACTTGCTAGAGCTGTGGAAAGCTTCTCAACTGTCAATGACCAAATTATGACCATCAGAATTCATGCCAATCCCCCCACCCTCAACATCACAGTTAACCAAGTCTAAGTGCACTGATTATGTTACCTGGTTTGGGTAATGACACATGTGCAAGAAACCAAGTTCAGAGAACACCAAGGACTCCTCAAATCAATATGCATCCATACCCAACATGGTGACAGACAAATATACCAACTTGCAATGCTGGCAGTGATGGGGTTATAGCTCTATCAGAAATGGCCTAATTGGCTATCTATTCCTACAAAAGCTGCAGCTTCTAGAATGGGGAGAGATGTTAAAGAAGTGTAAAGTGGCAAGAAGTACTTCTCCAAAAGTGATTTGATGATAGGGTTTATATGGAATTGGGCTACTGTAAAAGGCAGTGACCTCTTATGAGCCAACCCACCTCCCCTTCATAAGGTCCACGAAGAGTAGAACAGACAAGAGACTTTCTCAGTGATAGTCCTTCTGTTCATTACTCCTAGATGTGAGTGGCCTCCTTCAAGATATTCATGAGGTAAATTCATGTTATTCCAGCTGACTCCCAGTTTGTCCTTATGTCTTTTGTGTTTATTTTGTTATCTTTCCTTGGACTTATTATAATTTTAACTGCATACACTGTATTATTTGCCACCCAGACTCCTAATATACTAGGGCAGCTTTTACTGTACATATATATGATAAATAAATTAATAACTAGAAGGTCTCCAGTCTTTTGAAGGTTGTAACTAATTTTTATTATTAAGAAGAAAGAGAAAGCTCCTGGACCTCTGATATTCTTTCATGCATCAAGAAGGGTAAACAAGGGATTTTCTGAATCATTTGTCAAAGCATGTAATTTAAAATCTAGCATACTTCTCTACTGGAAAAAAGGTCGATCCAATCAAATATGTCATCACATATTTTTAGTAATTTCTTAGTTCCCAGTCACCTGGATCCCTGTCTGCAAGTTCATGGACTTTCATTTTCCCCTATCTGCCATAGGCTCTGAATTTTTTTTAAAAAATCACTGTTTAGTGACTAAGCTATGCCAGTAGGTGATAATTATCTAAACTACATAGAAGCAGATTCTTTATACAATCCAATATGTTATTAATTTTGAATTGTATCTAATGTTGCTTTTATTGAGTGTCATGATTGACCTCGGGGATATGCATGCTCATAGGATTATTGCAGCATGAACTGGCATTCAACTTTGCACTTATGGATGTCTCAAGCACGCTGCACACTTACATCACTAGGCACACTGCAGATGTTGAAAGAATGACATTAATAACAAATGATGTGGATTATGTAATATTTCAGTTGTTGGGGAATAGGGCCAATATTTTCAGGAAGGCTTAAAAATCCACATTTATATTTAATAAAAATGAACTAAAGTAGAGAGAAATCTACTGAATTTAGTTATTATAATTTAAAATGATTCTTCTGAATGCACATCTCTGTCCCTGTTCTTCAGAAAACCCAAATAGCTTAGAATGTAGAAAACATAAATAAACAATTACAAAAAAATAAAAGAAGCATAAAATAAACTATTCATGAATATCATATTAAGTCTACAATGAATCAAACATTGGGGGAAAGACCTCAACACAGAGAAAGAGAAATACTAAGAAATATTTAGTCCACACAAATTCCTGATCTAAAATTAGCCTGTAAATCATGCAGAAGTAAGACTAGATTGGTTTCACTAAAGAAGGCATTTCCAAGAATGGTGTTCAGAGTGCAGCTAGGTAGAACGGGCCCCTGGCAAAGAAAGCAAGATATATCCCTCATATCACCCAGCCTAAGTCAAGAAAATGCACAGAGTGCAATAACATCAGCCAAACCAAATCCTCAGACAGCAATTAGGTTACCTTCCTTGTAGGCAGATAAGCAAATGCATATAGAAGTTAACCAGTCTTCTGCTCTCCCTTTTCTGCTGGATTCCATGAAGAATCATTTTGCACTGAAAGCTTTCACCAGGTCCCAGAACTGAGATGATAAAACTTTCACGCACATTATATCAGGATGAATGTCTTAAATTAGAGAAATTGGATTGTAGCATATGGGCTTGAGTGACCTAGCATGGTTGCTGTTTTGCTGGCATAAGCCAGCTATTGGAGTGAGTAAAAGGGGAAAAGAAGATCAGTTCTGGTCTTGAAGGGCAGCTGCAGCGTAATGAGCTGACCTAGCTTCTATCCAGGACTACTGTGGGACAATTTTGAGACAGAAGTCCCATTGCTCCCACCTTGTACTGTATATAGATGTTAGGGTCTAGAGTCCTAAGATGACATCCGCCCTCCTCAGTTGCTGGGGAATATTCCACTAATCTAGCATGAAAATTGAAGAGAGAAGAAAAGGAGAGAAAAAGTTGCCCAGAATGATTGGAGTGGCTTAAGAGAAAAAACTGGAGAGAGAAGTTAAGCACATAGAGCAATTGTTGGTTCCTGTTTGGGAAAGGAAAAGAAAGGTCCACAGATGGCTTCTCTGGAAGAAGTGATAATAAAGACCCAGAGGGACAAGAGCTCCACTGAAGGCCCAAGAACAAGAAGGAGAAACCCAGCTGGCTGCAAATGGCAGCTTCACCCAAGATTAAAGAGGGGAAGGAGGAGATAGACATGGTGGCAAAGCCCTGGTCTCCGGGAAAGGACTGGGCAGAAGACTCATGAAGGTTCTTCTCCCAATTGAGAAGAAGTAGATGTTCAGCTCAGCAGATCCAGGACAAAATCAAGCCCCCCTGAGCACATTACAGTAAATTCCAGTCATCTATGAGAATCACTGCAGCTAATTCTGGAACTACTTAATGATGATACATTCACCAAATATTATAAAGAAAAGGCTTTAAACAATATGCAGAATTCCATTTCTTGGGTTTAAAAAGGGGGATAGATGACAATTCCTCAGCTGATCAGCAGCCATTCCCAGGTGATGTTTGATGTTTGGCTGATGT